CCCAGAGATGCTGTTTGGAAATATCAAGCACACAGCCCAGGCATCTAATAAATCTTTCATTTCTCCCATTCTGACCACCATCCTCACTAAACCAGTATTCCAGACCTTCACCAGAGCTAGAACTGAGTCTCCGGCCTTGCAGAGCAGCACCATCCCCACTGGCCACCGTTGGATGGGATTCCCCCTTCTTCTCAAATTGGCAAATTAATTCTGCTACAATAAAAAGTTCTGAGTCCTTTCACCACTCTGAGTGAAGCCAGAGCAGAGCAGAGGGATTACGATGTCCACAAACCCAGGTCCTCGGTGCCCTGTACTTCATCCGGGGCCCTGGCCAATTCTTTCCCACTTCAAGCTTGCCTCCTCTTCTGTAAAAAGGGTGATGTGCTTCCCATGGAATACATACTCACCCAATTTTAAAATTAAGTGAATAAATTCTTTCCCTAATTATACAATGAATTTTTTGTGTGCTCTCAAGGCTGAGCGTAACATACATAATTTCTTTTTTCCCTAGTTAATATTTTATTTTTATTGGTACACATTTGCAGTTCATAGTGAGTCCTCGTGGGGGGTTGGTACATGTACAGAACACGTGTTAATTCTTTTTTTTAATCCCCTCCTCCCCCCTCCACCTCTTGGTTCCCTTCCTTTTTACAAAAGATCTTGCTCCCTGTTTCCTATTATCTTTTTAAAATGAAGTAAATAAACTCTTACTGCCAAATTCTCATTTTTTTCCTGAGGTTGGACAAAGGTGAAGTTTTTAAATTTTGTTTCCTTTTGCTTTCAGTTGTCCCTGGCCTTCTGGGAAGACCTGGCAAGAGGGTCCCCAGATACCGAGAGACCAGCCTTTCCTGTGAGTCCTGAGGCTGTCCCACTCAGAGGAAGAAAACAGGATCCCACGGGACAGGCTGGTCACAGGCACCCATGGACAGATTTTATTCAGACCAAAGGGTTTCATGTTGTTCTGTTCTTGCTGTTGCTGTTTGTGATGCAAGGGCTTGAACCCAGCCTTTTGCACTGAGTGATAAGCTCGGCCCTTTTTACTTTTTTCTTGAGACAGAGTCTCCTTAGGTCATCAGTTGTTCAGGGTGAGCTAGAGCATGTGATCCTCCTCCCTCAGCCTCGCAGAGTTCACATTGCTTCACTGGGCGGTCCTAAGTTTAGGGTGGTGATCTGCATGTGATGATCCGGCCTAAATTCTCACGTGTGGCTACTGGCCTCTCTCTCTTTTCCTGCGACTCCCAGCACCCCCTTGGGCTGCACTGTTGAAATGTGTGGACAGTCTTTTTCAAACTGATTTGCTGTCTAGAGGTCAAGTACAACAGTTTTTGTTTCAGTTTCAGAATTCAGTTGTATTAACTAGCAGTTTTCTGACCTGCAGTACTACCTACTTTCATAGGCAGGTTACATCTGTGGTATGAGATGTGACTGATTCCTATTTTAGACACTGAATGGAGACATCAGAAAAAGCTCTTGAACTGGGAATTTGGACTTGCATGGGATCCAATGCCTTCTGCCACCAGTTGGTTTAGGGGGTAATTTCCTATCTGGTACCTGCACTGTCCAAGGTGTAAGCCTGCTGATTGAAGCAGGTCCCTGCTAGTGTCTTTTCCTAGTTCTGATTAACTACCTTTCACCACTGATATCTTCTTAAAATTCAGGCTTTTCTTAAAGGCAAACCTACTTCCTAAGGATCTTTTAGAGAAGTCAAGTTAATCAATTTATATTTTTCTATCAATAAACATTGGTTGAATGTCGCTAGAGGCCAAGACTGTGTTAGGTAATGAAAACAAGAGTTGTCAGTCCTGGCCTCCAGGGAGCTGGAAGCCTGGAGGAGGAAGTGACCAATGTAAGCCTCTAATTTAATCACACAGGGTTTATTGTTGAACCCCAAAGAGGGAGCAGGTTCCCAGACTGGCTAGGACTGCCCAGGAAAGCATCACCTACCAGGTATCAATACACTGGAACTGAGATCATAGATAGTTTGGGCCAAGATGAAAAGGGCATTCTCAGCAGAGGAACAAGTTTCCAAAGGCATGAAAGCCAGAAAGAGCAGAGTATGTCGTGAAGATGGCAAGAGAATTTAGGGTTGGAGCATAAGGCTGCCAGGTCACCATAGTGGGGCAAAATTCTTGCTAAACAGGCGAAAAAGCTCCCTAGGTTAGGAAAGAGTTTATACATCTTAGCAAGAACCCTGGACTTGATTCTGTAGGAAGAGTGTCCCTGAAAGTTTTAAGGTAAAGAATAACCAAGTCAGATTTGGGTTTTATCACACACATTCCATAATAAGAGGGAAGGCAGACTTGTGGAAACAGAAATGGAGAAAGAAACACTAGTCAAGAGTCCAGACGATGAGAGGCCATAGATTATAAAAAGAATGCCAGGGCTAGGAGCAGGATTCCTTGGGGGAAATCCACAGCGAACAGAGTTAGATGTGTGGTGTGAAACTCTTGGGTCTATGTGGACAGACAGGGAGACAAGTCCAACAAGTGCTAAGAAAATAAATTGTGGGAACGCTGGGTGGGGGGGTGACAGAGATGAAGGACCCATTGGCCTGCCCCTCAGGAACAGCTAAAAGTTAAAATTTCCTAACATCATTAATAAAACCACCACATTATAAGATAGAAAATAATGGTGGCAGAAAGGGTGGTGAGGGAAGAAACAGTCTTTTCTGTGATTTTCCTAAGGCTGTTCTCCAGAATGACATTATTCCTTGTATCTTCAAAGATAAATGTCTCTTCTTCATAGCCAATGCAGATATTTTATAATGATAGATAAGGCTACAGACTGTGATATTATTAAATATACATGCACGTGCACTTGTGTGTATTGGATATGTGTGTGTGCACATCACCTTTCTCATTTTAGGAAAAGATGGGGGGCATCGGTTCCAAGCCAGGTTAGCCGCCTGACGTTAGCTAGGCAAAGGTCCTTCTCTCCTGCAGAATTTTAGTTTGTGGTCCTCATATGCACAATTTATGCAGGACTCTCCCTTCCGTCTTTCAGAGAGTGTTTGGCATGAAGGTCTTGTTATCAGGCAGACAACATATTTCTTACTTTAGAAGTACAACTGGTAGGATAAAGAGCCTGAGAACCGGAACTGTTGCCAGAAATAACCGGGCAAATTCACCCACTTCCAAGAAGGTCAGTCCATTTGATTGAAGCAGATTCTTGGCATAGCCACGGCCAGTATGCCTGTTGCATAACTCACAGCCCTTGGTTCCCTCCATTGAGAGTGCTGTGTTGACCTGGCATTTTCTGTTCCTGTCACAGCATTTTCAATCCGCGTCATCATAATCACTGTCAGGCAGCCTCCCCTAATAAGTCAGTCTCCCTTCTTTTTGTTTTTTTAACAGGTACCTGTTGAGAATCCTATTTTTAACCAACAGTTGTAACCTAAGAGATGTCATCTGTCAGGTTTTGAATGTTGTTAAACATAGGAGTCCCAGACATGTAGTCATTAAACGACAGGAAGCCGTAAACAATAGGAAAAGCAAGCCCCAGCAGGAGATGTTAATTACATCGGAATTCATTACTGAACTCCGGCTCTGAAAGGGCCAAAGTCAGTGTCCAATCCTGAGGAGATGGAAGGTCATTGTCCTTCGAAGAAGCAGTTGTACTGACTTTCAGGAAACTACATCCCTGTGGACCCTTGTTCATAAACTAGAGCAATCTTTTTTTTTCTTTTTTTCAGAACTGTCCAAGTCCAGGAATTGAAAAAATAGGATACTAGTTCAAGAATGATGCATAAGTCAAATGGAGAAGGCATTGAAGCAATAGCTAATTTTTTGTGTTTCTTTTGTTTTGTTTTGTTTTTGGTACCCGGTATCCAACTCTGGTCCTGCGCTTGCGCAGCAGGGGGCGAAACCAGTGAGCTAAATCCCCGGCCCTTTTGTGTTTCTTATTTTACTTAGCACTTCACTGACTGTTCTGTGTCGCTTTACTTGACCCAAGAGAACACTGAGATAAAGACTAGGTTACCACATTTTGCCGATTAGGAAACTGAGGCTTAGGGGGATCAAGTGACTTGAAGAGCTAGAAAACAGGCTTTAGGATAGGGCTTTAGGAACTCAGGTGTTCAGTCCAGAGCCCAGCCTCTTACCACTCTCTTGGGATGCTCGGAGCTGTCTCCTCCCTGCGACCCCAGAATGCCCTCTGATGGAAATGAAAGAGATGCACCTCACCTCTCCCCATGCCACTGCTGGGCTCTGGTTCAAGTCACACCTGGTCAGGTGGGTGGTAGAAGCTTGGATTTCAGTTGAGATTAAAACTCCAAATCACCTTCAAGTGGGGGAGCAAAGGTTAACATTTGTCCTACAGTTCCAGTCTGCCTAACTCAATGGTGCCACGATGCCCAGGTTAACTGTAGATGCTCGGGATGTAAAAGACTCAGGAGCCAAGGGTACATCCGCACAGGTCAATTCGGGATCACATTTTTAACATTAATGGCTTCTGTTTTCATCCAATGATTCTTTTTCTCCTCTCATGCACGGTGGAATATGTGCTTTTCTTTCACAGCAGGTCTTACCCCCAGAGTATTTTCCCACTATTTCCCCTGACTTAGGGAAATTCAAACTTGCACATCCACAGAACCCTAGGACATGGTAGACTATTATGTTCAATCGAGCAGAAGACCTTTAAATAGCATCGCCTGGTACACCGGATTCCACAGTGACAGCCGCCGGGGGGAGGGGAAGAGTCTTGCTAATTGACAGTCACTCAGAAATGATGATAAAACATCTCTGAAATGTTAATTGTTAAGTGTTTATTGAAGCCTGTCTACATGCATGTGCTGAATACTAAAGTAGAAAATCATTCCCAAACAGCTTCCAGTCTGATTGCACTTGACAGAGAAAACGTGGAATTATACGAAGTCGAGTGTCCAGATGTGTGGAGTGTGGTTCCACTGATGAGACTGTTTCAGACTCACACCTCTGTTATAAGTGAGCTGCTGTGTTCTCCTTGCAATCTTACTCATTTTTTTTTTTTTTTTTTGGTACCAGGAATCAAACTCCGGTCCTTGCGCTTGCGCAGCAGGTGGCAAAACCACAGAGCTAAATCCCCGGCCCTCCTTGCAATCTTAAAAGTCCACAGTTTTCTGTTGGAAGCTATGACATCCTGCCGAAGATATCCATCAGAGCTTTCTTTCTGGCATTTAGGTTTTCCCTTTCTTTTAACATCTTTGAAATAGTTAATACAAAAAGCCGTCATTATTGTCACCAAGAGTTTGGGTTGCAAATAAAAACTATTTGCCCATTACCTATTTGTTTCTTAGAAGTTACTTCAAAAATGCATTCTCTCGGATGAGCTAGTTCTGAGAGTTTTGCATTTTGGGACCCAATTGTGGAAACCTCTTTTTCCTTGAAATGCATCCATTGGGAGCCCTGATCCCACCGAGTGAAGGCTGAAGGTCTCCTCGAAAGAAGGCTTCAGAAACAGCCGACTTGGAAGAAGAGAGACAACTGCAGCGGGCAAGGCCTGCACGGAGGACTTCTGAATTCCTTTTTCAGTCTGCAGAGCTGCAGATAAGTTTTTCCATGGAGCGGTCCAACCCCTGTCGCTGCAAGACCTGTTTTTTTTTTTTTTAAACACTCAGTAAACTAACTGGAACTTCTGTCGAGTGTGGTGTCTCTGTGTAACTGGGTGCAGATTGAACTTGACACATTAACTTCTTCCTAGAAAACAATTTATAGTCATAGAACTATGGAATCCCGCAGTAGGAAGGACCTTCACAGTCACCCCGTCCAAACACCAGTCTCACACTTGAGTTGTTGGTTTCTGAAGAAGTCTGTTTCGCAGGCAGCCGCCCTGCGGCCCCAGAGTCACTTGGCCTGAATGTCTCCCCAGCCTGTCCGACCGCTTGGCACGGATATCATCTTGCTGGTGATTCTTCCTGCTGGGTAGTGGCTACATTCTGAGTGGTAAGAAAAGTAAAGATTTTTTAAAAATCATATTTAAAGAAAGATGCCAGTGTTATTTCTATTTCCATTTGAAGACACTGAGCTTTAGAGACCTTAAGTAAGCAGAGTTTGAATCCAGGCTGGCTGGGTTTCCGAGCCCCACACCCCTTTCTGCCATACCACACTGACAGAATATTTTTAAGACAGAATCTCACTAAATTACTAAGTTACCCAGGCTGGGATCAAACTTTTGATCTTCCTGCCTCAGCCTTCTAGTATATTGGGATTATAGGCATGCACCAATATGTTCAGCCCCACACTGCCGGATGCTTTAAACTCAAGAAAGAAAGGCAGAGGGGGAGAATAGCCATTTTAAAGAGACTAAAATAGATTGTTAATATGGAGAACTAGAAACTGATTTTTTTGCCGTCCACCAGCTAGCTAGCTGTATCTTGCTCTGTATTTTTCTTTTCCCTATAAAAGTCTATACTTCTGAAAAACTCTCATTTCATATTTTTATTTTAAATCTCCCCTAAGAATATGCAGAATTGAAAAGTCCCTCTGCCAGCCACCCGTGAAATAGGATGAGTAGTTTCAAATCACAGGGCTGGAAAATCAGCCAGAGCAGAACAAACGCATTAGCTGGCAGCAGCACAGCAGGGGATGAAGCTCAAACACCAGGAGCCGCAGCAGACAGGTCTGCTAATTTGTCCTAGCAAACAGGTGCTCAGAAAAAGGAAAGCTACCTCAAGCTGATTGTTGCAAGAAGGAGACAGGGAGGGAGGGATTCAGTCTTGAAGTATCCGATAACCACATGGTGTAAGGTCTTCCAGAAAGAAACCTCTTGTCTGCCCAGTGACCAAGAGCATTGAGAGATCTGGCTTAGGCTGGAGACAGAACAAGGGGAGAAACAGCCGACGACAGAATAGAGGCCTGATCCGCAAGTGAAGCTGAATAATAGTAGAATCTTACTTGTAATGTACCTCTCTATATTGAGTTCATATTCACAAATCTGACACATACTGCAGTAAGTAGATACATGATAGATATATGATTGATAGATTGATAGATAGATAGATATAGATAAATAGATAGGAATTGTTACATTGGTTTTACAGAAAACACATAGAAGAGGGATTCCAGAAATGGAGAAGGAAGATTAGGTTCATGGCTAGTGAGAAGCTGAAGTTATCAACAGCAGCACTAGGTTTCTGCCTGGTGGCATCTGATTCATTTCCATCTGAAAATCAATCATCTTATACAAAGATCAGATTTTACTTTCTGTCATTGGAGTTTATGTTTGTCTCCCTCCGATGATAGCTGTTTCATTTATGGTTGGCATATTCATTATTTAGTTCCAATGAGTTCAACTAGGTTTTCCTTTTCTTTAACATTTTACATTTTATTAAACAGGAAGATACAATAAGAAAAATATAATCACAAACAGGTATTTCTTTACCTACTACCTACTAGAATTGATTAATGTTAGCATTTGGCCATATTTGCTGGAGATTAAAATATATATATGGTATATTTACACTACACATGTATATGTTTATATATAGTAATATAGATAATATAATATATACATATATATAAAATGATAAATCGAAGCCTCTCGGTTTCCTACTTGGGATCATTCCCCTTTCTTCCTCCCCAGAGTCAGCCTCTATCATGAATTCTGTAAGTATTCTTTACCAAAGTGTTATACTGGTACCATTCTATTTAAACACAGAGATATATAGTCTTGTTAATTTTAAGATTACTTTATTATATTATAGGTGTTAGCTCATATGTATACCATTCTGTAGGTGCAGACCTACATCTGGCTATTTGTCAGCAATCCATTTTGAAATCTTAGCATCTCTGTGACTAGTTTCAAGAAGTACTTAAAAAAAAGATGATTCCCATAGGACAAATGTCCCTGTTAGATAAAGATTAAGGTGACACATATTATGAATAAAAGGAAGGCATTATTAAAAGTACTCAACTCTTCCTACAGAATGCCTTGAGGATCTTTGATTTATCAAATTAAAAACCACGTTTTAAAACACTGCAGTGATTATCATTAGTCTAGATATTTTTGTTTTTCTTCATGGAGCTATTTTATTCAAATGAAAGTGCTTTAAAGATGAAAGCATGCTGTTTTCCCCTGCCAGAATTAAATCATTTCATCCTTCATCCCACAAAGTTCATTCAAATAGAAAAAAATAAATAAATACTTTTGTTCCTCCCTTGTTACGGAGTTTCAGCTTACTTATGTTGGGGCTTGCTCCAATTTTCTGTCCGTATTTTTTGTCACAGTTTGTAATTTCCCTGTGCAGGAGACATGCTCTTTCTCCACCCCTAATTCATGCAGAGTGGTTGTCTGGAGAAATGGGATCATTGACCTTATTTTTCTTGTGGTTTCCTCTTACTGTTTCATCATGTCATTGCAAGGCAGTATTTCTTAAAAGATCTCATGCTGGCAAATGCAAATTGACATAATGGAGCATAACAACTTTTTTGGAGTCTCAAGGTCTGTGATGTAAATACCTCAGTTTGTTTTGAAAAGCTTTTCATAATCCACTGCCTAAATATACATATTTACATAATTTACAAAACATGTGCTTTGAGCCCTTGCTATCTGTTAGTAACCAGTCCCTTGTAAGTACAGATCTGTGGGCTTGAACTCCTGACATGTCACTTTGCCATTTTCAGGTTTCCTGAGAGCTGGAACTCAGAGGGACTTCCCCGTTTTGCTGCAGAGTAAACAGTGTGAGTATATCATCTTCCTGGGAGGAAAGGAGACTCCTGAGTTTTGATGAACTTGACCTCTGGGGAAGTGCCCCAGAGGGAACTCCAGTGAGACGAACATTTTACGCTCTGACTTTAAATTTGCCCCCCAGGTAACATTCACGACTTCTCTGTAAAGCACTTTTTATGTTGCCCTCTATCTTCTGACCAGGGCAATGAGTATTTCAGTGGCTGGCAACAAAAGCCAGACACAGATCCTTAAAACTATGGAGAATATTTAAATATGAGTGGTTTCTGGTGGGCTGGATCTACCTTTGCTTAAGGCTGAGGGAGAGAGAGAGAAGGAGAGAGGAGACAGAGACAGAGGGTGAGTTTGGGGTTTACTTCAATTTGGTTTAATTTCAAGGTTGGGGGTGGAACACCCAAAGGAAATCTTTCTGGGTGTCCCGTGGTGCCCACCCGCAGTGGAAGCTAAAGAACAAGGATGCTAAGAGACACTTTGATAAACTCTCTGCCAGGCTTTCGCAGACATTGTACTTTCCCCTCCATCTTTCTCCCGAGAAGAATCTTCTTGAATTTTTTGCTTCAACAGCATGGGTCATTTGTTGGTATTTTCTGGTGTTTTTGTTTTGGTTTTGGTACCGGGGATCGAACTCAGGACCTTGCGCTTGTGAGGCAGGCAGCAGAACCACTGAGCTAAAACCCTGGCCCTGTTGGTATTTTCTGGACATTCCCATTTGACAGAAAATTCTGCTCTTTTTTTTTTTTTTTGGTACCGAGGATCTGAGCTAAATCCTCAGCCCCGAAAATTCTGCTCTTGACCCTTAGCAGATTTTCATTTTTTACTGCCTTGCAATAATTATTTTCAAATGTTACCTTTTATTATTTCTTCTCTTATTACAATTTTGTTTTCATTTTTGTCTTTTAAAAACTTAAATAGACAACAGCAAGAATAAGGGGAAGAATTTCACAGAAGAGGGGCCAGATGCCATTTGTCCCTCACCAAGCTCTGCCTCCCTCAGTCCTGGCCGTGCTTATCAGTAGATCTCTCATTTCGTTCCAGATGGTCCCCTTGACCTTAAAGAAGTCTGTGAGAAGTCTGTCGTGTCATACCTAAGTCATTATTCTTGGCAGCTCAGTGGAGATGGATGCTAAAATACTTCCTCTTGGGAGCTGTAACCCCAGCCCCGAAGATGTCTCATTGAAGCCTGTAACACTGTCTTATCTCCAAATGAGTAAGCTCACCAATTAAAATTCTTGTTGTTTCATACGAATAACTTTCTCACACTGAAGTGATTGAGGAGAATGCTGAACAGTCTCCTGCCATCGCTCCAATATGGCCTTTAAAAAATTCAACGTAGGCATAAGTGTATCCTTTGAGTTGGATAAGAAGCAGACCATCTAGGTCCTTGGTATCATCATCATCATCATCGCCACCATCATCATCATCTAAAACATTTATTAAACACCTGTTCTTTGGGGGGTTCCTACCATACACAGAAATATAAGGTGGCATCCCTGCCTCAAAAGCATCTCTAACAGCACTTGACTAGAAGACAAGCATACCTGTACATAAAATGAAAACTAAAGAGTTTTAAGGAGAATGATGTGAGCAATAAATACTACAGAAGTCCAGGAAAGGGAAAAAAAACCTATAGCTTGAGGTAGACAAAATGATCTTGAAGAAATGACTCTTGAGACTGAAATTCAGAGAGGAAAGAATATCACTCTTCCAAGGAATATTGTGAAACATTGGTACAAAGAAAGAAGGATCCAATGAGTCTGAGGTGGGTAATGGCCAGCGCTTGATGCTGAAGATGTGTTTTACCTGAGGGCAAGCCCTACCCCCTTTCTAGAGGTGCTGTCTAATGTCTAAGCCCCTTGGTGGAAGGAATATTACATAATAATGTCTGGGGCTTTGCCAAGGAAACAAAATTTACCTTTTGTCTTCTCCCCAGGTTGCTAAGAATGCTGTTTTTAACTTAGCAAAAATTAAGAACTGCATTTATTTTAGATTACTTATTCTTATTCTGGTAACACTGATATATTTTCCATGTTTTAAAATCAATACATACAGGAATCGGGTACATTATGTATAGGAATATAGTACAGGAAAAGTCACCTTTTTTTAGCATACTGTCTTGGAAGTTTTGACAAACGTACATTGTCATATAAATGCAACTATAATCAAAATATTGAAATTTCATCACCCAAAAAGTTCTCCTGTGGCCTTTGTAGGCAACTCTTTTCCTTTATTTCCAGTCCTTGACAACCTCAGATCCACTTTCTGTCCCTGCAATGTCCCCTTTCCCAGATATCATATAAGTGGAATCATACTTTCTATAGTTTTTTGTCTTTTTTTTCCCACTTAGCATAATGCATTTGAGATTCAGCAATGTTGTTTCATGCATTATAAGTGAGATTGGAGGAACTCTGTGTATTATACCACATTTATACTAAATAAAAATAGACCTAGAAAACCATTTTCAAGTGGTTATTAAACCTGTTTTGAACCTTCCGTGCACACCCAGGCTCATACCCCTCATCAGCTTGTTACTCTCCAAGATAAGCTCTCTCTCAGGTTTAGACATGTGCTAGTGCTGACTTGGGTAATTGGGCCTTGTATTTAATATGAATTAATGTCAATTTGTTGAGGTTTTCCTCCGTGACCAAGTTCATTTTGTGGTGAGACTTTGTATTATCAAATTTTAGCCCAAAGTAAGTCATGTTTGCATCATAAATCCTTGGAAAAGGCTGTAATTTATTACCCAAGAGGCTACTCACTCTCTCTATATCTGTCCTTGGCTGTGAAATAAGAGATCAAGAAGGATAGCTAGTGGCTGAGGCCACTTGAGCCTCTCACAGGCTCTGCCTCCTATAGAGACCTTTGGGTGCCACTGTGCTGTCCGACAACACAATGAAGTCACTCACGAGCCATTTGTTGACACCAAAGGAACATATTTACTTGACCTCCTTTGCCTCCAAACACCCAAAAACTAAATTTTAAGAAAGAGTTAACAGGCAAACAAAACTACACAATGTATCTATGAAGAATTTGGCTTCCTGTACCAATGCCTTAGATTCCAATTATTTAAGTTTTTAAATTCAAAGATAGAGTCATCTCCAGTCTGTGTTCCTGACCTCAGAAGTTTATCTTCCAGTTGGATGGAGAGAGAGCAGGGAAGCAAAAGACAAGCAACCTTTACCTGCTTGCTTGAGTCAATGTGGCTCTGATTCTCTCCTCATATTTCATACTACAATGCAGAGTAATCACTTCACTCAGTGAGAGATTGCAATGTGTCTGTTTTGTTCTTAGCACGGTGCCAGAGACTGGTAGAATCAACGATGATCGGGATATGGCATCTGTGCTTCCAGAGTCTGTCTTGGCACAGGGGAGGATTAGACAATCGCCCCTCAATCCTCAGGCTGTTAGCAGACAATTTGCAAAGCCTAGCTTGTTAGCTCCTTGCTGGGTTTTGTCCCTAGAGCTAACACTTCCACATAGTAGGCCTTACTTAAACATTTTGTTGATGAACTGCTAGAATACAGTGCTTTCCAGAATCCTCTATAGGAAAGAATCTTTTTGAAAATTCCTAATCCATCAGAGACCAATGCATTGGTAAAATACAATAAAAATGAGCTCGATGTCACAAGGCCAAATAGTTTTGCAAGTTTTTAAATGCTTTCTCTTGATTTCTGTGGTTATCTCATTGTAGACTAATAATAAAAATTATCCCACAGACCAGTACGAGTCACAGACCACAATTTAGCAATAGGAAGAAGAGGGCACGCTGTGCCTGAAGTGACCAAGGATGTGTAAATCCACAGTTTCCACTCTGTTCACCTTCTAAGCCCAGAGTCTGATGCAAGTAAGAAACTAAAATGATCTCAATGACACCCCATTCTCAAACCCCACCCCAGAGATGTGACTTTGCCTCCTAAACCCTCTTTCTCCTGCATCTACTTTCTATGCAGTCATTGGATGAGAAAAGAAATGAAGGCAGAAAAGGAAGAAAGAAACAAGGCAGGTGTGGGGCCCTGGAGTGGCCAAGACCCATTCTGAGGGGGCTGATACAGGTGTGGCTGTCCTCGCCTCCCTCAGGCTACCTTGTGTTTTCTCATCCTATAACCTCTATTCAGGCTATAGGTTCCCACGCCACCCTTATTAGTTATTGGGTGGTACCCGTCAGAAAGCGCCACCGTCAGGCCACTAGGAGGAGATTCCAGCCACTGACTCACAACTAATGGTTCTCTGATTAGCGTCTCCAGTTTGCTAAACTTCCAGTTTAAGGTGACCGAAGAGTCCTCTCCCCCTGCCTCCCAGCCTTGCCCATGGCCCCTGGCAGCCTCAGTCACCAGAAGGCAGTCAGATGTGACTTTCTTTCCCACTCCATCTGTGTCCGGCCGCAAACCAGTGACCTAGAGAGCAGTCACCACCTCCCATGAGCAGCCCAGGGCATTCATCTCTCTGTGGAAAACATTTTATTTTAAGAAACAAAGCAGACTGTCGTGGTAAGAACTCATCTACAACGCGTGATGACCCTCTCATAAAACAGAGTGCCTGCCGAAAGAAGACAGGAGTGCCAGGGCAGCATTCTCAACTTTCTGGCCAGCCAGGTTTGCTGAGAAGAAAATGCACCACGTTGAAGTTCCACTGTAGGTCTCAATACTTTGGGAACAGTGTCGAATATTTTTCAGGACACAGTAGCAGAGAAATTCTCTGCTAAGTGACCCATTATTTCAACCATTCTCACGGAAGGACAGGACAAAGAAATATTTGCCAGATTTGGGTCACTGATGTTCGGTTTTCAATGATGGAAATCACCCTTGTGTTTTTAAAATTATTCACCAAGGCAGAAGAGTCAAGGGCGGTGGTGCACACCTATAACCCCAGGCACTTGCAAGGCTAAAGCAGGAGGATCACAAGTTCCAGGCCAGCCTGGGCTACACAGGCAGATCCTGTTTAAACACATGCACACACACACATGCACACACACCTGCCTGTGCACACAAAAACAAAAACAAGGAGAGGGAGAGGGAGAAGGAAAATAAAAAAGAAAAGGAGGGGGAGGAGGAACAGGAAAAGGAAGAGGAAGGAGGAAAGGAGGAGGGGAAATTAATTTGCCCTAGAAACGAGATTGTCACATAGAGGCACAAACCTTGGCGTAAAACTCCGAGTAAACAATATTAAAGTTGAATGACATCATTTTGAGACAGCTACTGGAGCTGCTTCTCAGCCACTCTTCCCACCTTCAGACTTCCATCTAGCCTGCAAATTAAATTAATCTTCCTAACATACTCCTCTCATATCCCTTCAGTGCTCATGAATCTTCAACGGCAGCTAATAATACAACTCAAAGAGCCAGTGCCTCACAGAGGAGAAGGAATCTCAGCCATGTCATCCAGGCCCCTTATTCACAAAGCAGGAAGTAAGGTCCAGGAAAGATGGGTTACTCGTGGTCATTTAGCTAGGAAGTGATGGCCATAAGAGCTCAATCTTCAAACCCACCATGTGATCTGTTTTTGTTTTTGCGACATTATTTCCTTCGATAAACTCTCAGAGCACAGTGTAACCTCCCCATCCCTACAGATCATCTGCTCTCCATGTGAACATCCAGTTCCACAGGTCAGAGACCTTCCCAGCCCTTCCTCCCTGGGCCATACCACCCTGCTTCTCCACAACACTCAGCCTAAAGACTCGAATGTTCTTTGCCTGGCTCTGTTTGCAGGCATTGTCTGTACTTCATGGTTCAGCATTCTGTCATTGACTGCTTTGTTCACTCGTGTTTCTGGAGACTTCCTTTTTTGGTACCAGAGATTGAGCTCAGGACCTTGCACCTGTGAGGCAGGCGCGGTGCCACTAAACTAAATCTCCACCCCTGTGGAGACTTCTTAATGAGTGTCATCTATGGCCTTTTAGAGGCAGAAGTCTCTAGAAGTCATCCAGATGGGCCCACATGTGTACATGGTTGTCCCGAACCATGCTGCTCCGAGCTCTCCCAGGACACCACCAACATCAATGCTTGACCTCAAACTGCCCTTTTCAAGTTAGACAACTTCACTTGTCAGACAGCCCTACCCCACTAAACAACACAGAATAAATCAAATCCCTCTTCCATATAAAATCTTTTGGGATTTCTAAAGATAACTTGTATGCCTCCTCCCTTCTCAGACCCTTCCCTCTTCCAAGAGTCTCTTTTCTAGTCCACTTAATCCCATTTATCCGACTCTGCCCATGGCATGGCTTTAACGTGCTACATATGACACTCTTAAATTATGACCCAAAAAATGTGAACATGATACTGAAAATCTGAGCATCACACTGCTGAAGGCTGACTACAGTACCTTGATCACCTTCCTTGCTCTAAATACTATACCTTTGCCGATGCATCTTGCAACCTTACTAGCTTTCTAGAGGGCATATCACACTGAGGATCTTCATGGAGGTTTTTAAGCCCAAGATTTATCATTTGGGTTTGTGGTGGATTAACTAAATGGTCAATTTAAGTGGGAGCACCCAGCTGGTCTGAGTCAGTGTGGTTCGGGGCATGGAAGACCCACCTGAGGATTGTTGCCAAATTGACATAAAAGGAGAATGGGGGGCGGGGAGGGGGATTGCTGTTGATTTTCCTGGAGAAGCTTGCAGTGGCTGGTTTTCCTGATACGAACTTGGCTGTTCTCACCAGAGGAGCTCGGGTCCTCGCTGTCACCAGGGGTAGCTGCTATTCTCTTGGAGGGCTGGGGGAGCATTGCTTCCTGGCTCCGTGCAGATCCCTCCACCTGGTGGTACAGATCTTTCACCTTGCCGGAGCAGGCTTTCTGGCTTCCACCACTGGCCTTTGGGCCTCCAGGTGCAAATCCTCGCTACGGACTTGCACGAGACACTGCACTGGGCTCTAGGCCCTCAGCTGGATCCTTCTGGTCTCTAGTGCGTGGACAGATCTCTTACACTCTTCTACATCTGACTCTAGTAAGTACTGACTAATACTAATACAGTTTCATTTTCCCTTTTGAGTGCGCATGAAGTTATGTTTTCATATTTTTGCAAAATGTTGGTATTTCTTCTTATTAGTGAAAATAACATCTTCCCTTTTCCACTCAACATGTCAATTTTTTTATCTGTTTGTTTGTTTCTTTGTTTGAGACAGGATCGGCAGTGTAGTTCAGGCTGGCCTTGAACTCACTATGTAGCCGAGAATGGCCTTGATCCCTTGGCAGTCCTCCTTGGCTCAGCCTCTAGAGTGCTGGGATTACAGGCATGTGCCACCACACCTGTCTTCAACAAGTCATTATTGAATGCCTGGGCACCCAGTGAGAAAAAAAGAATTAAACATTGGTCCTTAATTGGATAGTGTTAATAATCAGTAAGGTGAGACTTCCATAAAGAATTTTATTCTAATATAAACATTAATAATATCTTTTTAGTGAATTGAGGGTGTCGTACTATGGGAGTTCCGAGAAAGGGAAATTGCTCAGAGGA